TTTTTTTTTTGTTTTTTTTTAATTTATCGTATTCTTTTGTTTAGCGGCATTAACAGAGAAGCTGAGGAAGTTCAGTTTAAGATAAAAAGACCCTTTTCGAAAATGGCTGCCAATTATAAATTCTTCAGTGTAAGTATTAAAATTAGCCTGACTAACCTCGTTTTTGAGTTGCTAATTCAAAAGAATTTTTAATCCCAAACGAGTTTAGTGAGGCTAATTTAAATGCATACAAAAGAATTTTAAATTGGCAGCCATTTATGAAAAGGGTCTATAACAGTGGCGTAAAACCGTCGAAATGACGTCAAACCCCGTACCTCTATTATGAGCTCCTCCCTTTAACTTAAGCATCCGCTTATTAGGAGAGATTCTCTCCTCAGGCAGAGGCTAATTGATGCTGAAAATAATATCCTTCTTAAAGCGGATGTTTTCGGAACATAACGCAGTGCCTTTTTTTTAGAACGTTGTTATAGGGTCTTCATAATTCATCTGATAATTGTCTCTACGACGTAACCAGGTTACCTGGCTTCAAAGGGCCGATTTAAACGGTATAACCTTGTCGCATGCAACAATGCAAACTTACGTCAACCAAGCATAAAAATAATTGGTTCTTGTAAATAAAACCTACAACTTCGACAAAGTTGTGCCATTTAAATCAACGGGCTAATGCGCAAAATGAACGCCACTCTAATAAACAATAAATTTTGCCAGTACGTTCACGCTCATGCTGACCACTGGTCCCCCATATTATATATTTGTTATTCATTTAGCGTGAGGTCCGTATTCAAATGTTGGTCGTGTTCTTTTCCTTTTTCGCAGGTTTATGGACCTTGTACTTGGAAAAACACGAGAACAAGAGCAATATTCTCGCCAATAAGGACGGAGCAAGTTTCTTTTTAATCTGGCGCGTCTCCGCGGTCCATTCTCTGCAAACGCGCACGCGAAAGGTTATCATTTATCTACGTTCCTTGCGTCGCATTTGACAACATTTACCTGACGTTGTCTTCCAAACATGAATGTAAAAAGATTTTTATGACCTGAAAAGCAATTAATTCAATTCCTGAGATGTCTTTTCTAGCAGTCCATTTTGCAAAATTCTGGCCGCTGAGGGAATCAATAATAATTCACTATTCACTAGTATTCATCGCAGACCAGCTAAGCCGAATTATAAGGAATAATATGAAGAGTATGCGTACGTGTTAGTACCCCAGGCGTTATCTTAAAAGACTTTTAAACAAGTATCGTTCGCCATTTTACGTTTTTCGAGCAAAAGTCAGTTGCGCACACTTGAGAATAGTCAGGTATTCTAAATTTAAAGCAACGCATTATATGATTTACTTACCTGCGGCTCCGTCAGATTCTGCTCTCTCTTGCTCTCTCGTAGTTCTTTGATACCTAGCTGAAAAATAAAATAAGAAGAAAGTTAAATTGATATAAAATTCAATTTATAACTAGTTGTACAATGACGAGTGTTCTGACTGGATGCTAAGGAGATTTTCGTTGTTAGTTTATGGTTATGACGTCACCGAAGATCTCTCCTGAAAAGTCTAGAATCAACAACCGGATTTGAACGAGCCAAATGATCGACAGTTGGGTGAGTTTGGGAAAGCTTCAAAGTCTTTTTTTATGTAAACCGTCACCTGCGACTCTGGTTCACGGAAACTTTGAATATACGACTGACAGATGGGGACCCACTTCGCATGCGGGGAGCAGCTGCTGCAGTGTGATACAGCGACTCCAAATAAAAAAACTAAATGCTTCCTTTCACGATCCTAACTTGTTTTCATGCATTCATTGTTCATTCTTTGATCTTCTTTTCCCTCCTTTAAACGATCTCCGATGACGTTATAAACCGGTGCGAATCAGGGTGAGGTGTCCCCAGTCGATAACACGCTGAACACGAAACAAGTCGTTTAACTTTATCTGTTGCATCAACAGTGGAGAAATCTATTTTTGCTAGTCACGTTTACTTTTACGGTAATTAGTAAAAGAGTGGTATGACATCTTTTAAAAATCATTAGAAAAGAATCACTTTGTGTTACAGGAACCGGCGGATTCAGAAAATTTAGAAAGACGACTGTTTTTCCATTATTTATTTTAAGGTACATTTAGTTTTTCATTCTATTTTTTGAGTAACAAATAAATAAAATAAAATAAAATAAATAAATAAATAAATAAATAAATAAAAAACCTGAAGACTAAAAATTCGGTTATAGTAGCGGCATTATAACCGGAACAATGCTAATTTTATCATTGGCTTAAATAATTTTCTAGTTCGGCCCAGAATACAACTTTATTGAAGACATTCTTTTCCCCCGAAAAAGGAAGCCATTACAGTGGAACTCCGTTAATCCGGTTTGGCCGTATTAACGGGGTGGCCGTATTTAATAGAGGAGTTCTTTAAATAAGAAAATCACTGACTGAGCTTTTGATCGGGCTAGCGTAAAAGTGGCCAACCTATTTTCAACAAGGCGCTCTTCTCAAAAGGTCTCGTATCTCTTGCTAATATTTGAACCATAAAGACTGGTAGCCTCAAACCTTGGGTGGGCCGGCTTCAAGGCAAAGGGGCAGAATGTTAATGATTATTTGCTAATGCTCTGTAATTTTCAATTCTCTTCCACTCACGTGAAAAAAGCTCATCAACTGCAAAGATGATGCTGATATGTGCGCGAGTGAGGAGAATTTACATTCTGATAATCGCAATGAAAGAGTGATTTTCGTTAATTTTCTTCCTTGCTTTGCTTTTTAAAGGGAAAAAGAATACATTTTCCGTGTTTCTGTTGAGCTATAGAGACACGAGTGGGACGGAGTTTGAAAGGAGTCGATAAGTTGGTGAAAACACTCGCACGCAGCTTGTTCTCCCAAACGTCCACCCATGCTTCTAAGCAGACTTCAGCGGCTGGAAGAAGAAGACTGTTGTATAACCTTGGTCACTTTTCACACTGAAAATCATTCAAACGTCTCTACGTCTAGGAGCCAGCGCGCCAAGTAGTTAGGAAGCCGAACTCAAGTCCGTTTTGACCACCAGCTGATGTTGTTTCACGGGAGATCCGAGTCGGACCACCCTTGAAAATACCCAACTGGTTTGCACCCTGCCAATTGGGGTTTTTAACCTGGTTATGTTTAATTTTAAATATTGGTCTCTGAAATTTTACTGCTCGGACCCGCTGGTATTTTGCTACTAACACTGACCGAGGGTAAATTAAGGTTCAGTCTTCATTTTTTCACAGAAAACTTGATTTGTTTTTCTCCCATTACGAGCCTTTTCATCTGCAACTGATTCTTGTCGATCAATTTTTTCCACCTTTAGCCTAATCGCAATTTGAACGAGATTTGTTTTCCCAACCTTCGGCTGACAAAACCCAAATTGTGTTCTGAGTCACTTGTATCAAATCACATATGGATACAGATAGAAATATTAAATGACTGTTAATCATCTCTTACCTTGAAATGCCGGAGCGGTGGCGTTGACGCCTTCCCAAAATGATCAAGTTAATTCCAACTGCGATTAAAACGCAAACTTTTATGTTTGGAAATGACGATGATCACGTGTCCTATTAAGTGAAAAGGCAAATGAATATCCATGGTAACTATAGCGGATAGTACTAATCCTGTTTATTGCGTATTAAAAGTACAAGACTAACCGGTGAGCAAAATTTTGATGTAAATTCTGTTGTAACACAGGAGCAGGAATTCAAGGATAAAGGCCAGTCTTCACTAGCGCATATTAAGCACAACCATAAACATAAGAAACATGCAAATGCAGAAAGCTACTTATAATTAGCACCCGTTGTTAGGGAAATTTTCTTTACCACTTACTGTCTGTAATTGTGCTGTTAAGCCTAATACAGTATTTATACAAGCGGAGGCGCAAGCAAAACAGGTCCACAAGAACAACTGCCGTTGTCTATTTCTACTTCTAATCAAATAAATCATCATGAGAAACACCAAGTTGGTTGTCAAACCGAGGAAACAACTACAGAGACATGAGACAAAAGAAAACGGACAGGCGTATTTTGATAATGTCCTGTATTTGTTTTAATATATGTACTTTTCTTTCTATCTTTTTTGTAACGAGGTCAAACATTATGAAATTGATCATTAAGGACACGCTTCATACAGATCTGGAATCAATTCAGAAAACAACGTCGGTCGTTCACTGCGCTTAAGTGTTCAGACATAAAGAAGTAAGGTAAATACTAAATGGAATATTTCATAATGTTTACATGTACAAAAAACATTTCAATTTCGAATGTCCATTCTTGACCTTTGTGTACATGCACTTTTTAAAGGCGAATTTCAACCCGTTAAAACAGGTCCCTGCGATGTGTCATCTAGTGTTTCAACTTTTCCATCATTTATTTGTGGAAGTATAAATAATCAACGACCTCGGGAGAGAAGAGAACAACTTTAAAGGCGAAACTAACTCGTGATCTCAATTTCGTTTTACAGAGACATCTCAGTCTCACATGTGTCTACATCAGTATGCATACCAGACGTTTGAGAACAGCATGATCCCTTAGCTAAACTTTTGGCATGTCATTGAGAAACTTGAAACTTTTTTTTTACATTTATGATCAACATTTTCCGCCTTTGCCACCCCTGTGAATAAACAATGCGGTTTTCTATTTTGAGAGCAATAACATCTAAAAAATTATACAGCATACTCGTCTTTAGGTCAGGTCATAAATAGGAAATCGAATTTTTGGTCAGGTCATAAATAGGGTAGGGAAAATCGAAGATTTTGATCACAAATAGGGTAAAGGTTTTGGGAAGCGGGCCGCACACCCCAACCCAATCTTTCTGGGAGTACCCCCGCTTCCCTCCGAACGTATTTGATTGGTTTGCTTAATATATTGCCATAGATTGCTACAAAGTGCGGGTAAAACACGAAATTTCCTGTAAATGCAACGAGAACAGGTTTCGCGCGAATCATGATCTTGTTGTATATAAAAAATGAACTTCAGGAAATGTTGTGTCAATGGAAATATATTGTAAGCCTCCGCAGGAAAAATGATGGAGGCTGTACAATTTACAACAATACCATGCCAAAGTAACGCAACCCATTAATTAGCCACAGGGAAAGCCATATGTTTTGCATTATTTATCCCTGCACTTACGACATTGTGTATACTAGGTTCGAGGTGTTACAACTTTTCTGTACGTTTTATGAGGGTTGTTAAGGTTTTCGTGCGCTACGAGTTATGGGTAAATGTACTGGTCATCATTTTTTTCGCTACGGACTGATTGAACTTATTGCATCACGACGGAAATAATTCCTAAATATTCCTATTTTAATGCTGGCCAGTGTTACACCTGAGAAATCGTGTTCACCATTGCGAACATTTCTTTACTGAGTACCACTACCACACATAATAATTGTTTTTCCCGCCGAGGCTGAATATTCTTATTTTTCTGCCGATCTTAGGCTGAAAATATTCGCGTGAATATTCTTAGATTATAGCGTATGACATTTCTGTCTTCTAATGTATTTGGTGGCATGGTCTTAAAGTAATTTTGGAGCCACCCTCCAGGCACCAAAGCCTGATAGGTTGTATCCATAGCTTCTTGCAGACATGTCATAAGCATCGCGCATACGGCTTATGCTATTTTTGTTGGTTTTTGGCTAATTCTTCCGTTTAGAGAAAGGAAGAATTTTATACGGTTTAGTTAAAAACATATCTACGTTGTATTTACAAATTTTCAACACAAAAAATTATATTCTTTTCAAAATCTCAGCCTCGGGTTTATTCTTGAGTATTCCTAGAATTTCGCAATTGTCAGCCTTGATAATCTCATAAAAAGAAAGAGCCTAGTGAACTATTTGTCTTCAACAGCTAAAAGCCAAATTTCGTACGTTTCTGAGCCACTAAGGGGACTAACCACACTTTTTTACCCTTGTAGCTACGGAAGTGTTACTCACTATAACACGTTATTCAAGCGCTATAATTAGATTTATTCTAGAATCTTCTAGTTCTGTATAAATGACAACTTTTACCTTGGTTTAGTTTCCTAATGAATGAGCTTCTACTTAATGTATTACTAATGACAAATTAAATAAAAATATTAGTATAAGCAGTCAAACATTAAGCAAAGAAACCCGAGGGATGATCAGAGAGCGGACTGCTGAAAATATCACCTAGAGCACTTCGGCCAAGTAGATCAAGTCATTGTCAGCCTTGCTGACGAACCTGCACGGTTTATTACGCAGGGTCTGTTGCTAAAACGTGTGGAAAAACTGTTAAAATTTGATGAGATAAAAGTTTATTCGCTTTCTTCGCTCTCAGTAGGCTCTAAATTCCGTTCATAGGGAAAGTATACCTGCTATACAATAAATTTAAATGGCAGTGAATGGCGAAAATCTAATAAAATAGAGCATCTTAATTATAGCGTCAAAAACGTTTTAGGGGAACTGATCAACAAGTCAATAACTGTGCGCTCTTCTTGAACAGATAAATACCAGTGGTTGACACGGCATGAGGAACTGTATAAAGAATGGATGGGGATTGGGGCGAAGCAACGTAACTGACATTTTCTTGCTTTTACAAAGGAGCTTTCGGACGTGATATTTTTCGCTAAAGGGAAAGAGAGAATCCGTCTTTCTTAGCAAATGTAGCCGACTGCTACTACGACGTGAATTGTGTTGATATCAAGACCATTGTAGCTTGAGGCACTATTGGAGCTATGAGATGCTTTGATTATATTTCCACAACCTTACGTCATTGATGTCGTTTTAAGAAGCCGCATTCTATGAGGAACATGTCTACCAGGAAAAAAGAGCCTTATCGATAAAGTACTAGTCCACAGTCAAAACAAATCGTCTACTTTGTCGTCTTTTAATACTCTGACATGTTTTAAGGACCTGCCGTAAAATCAATTTGTTGGAACTGATTTAATTTTAATTAATGACAATGAAGTAAGCGAGTGATTGATAGCACGATTATGAACATTCCGACACGTTCACGCGCAATTCGTGAACTGCACTGTTGTGTTGTTACAACAACAAAAAATGGTCGAGATGTTCTGATCAACTGATGTTCATTTTTAGCCTGAATAAACAGGCATCCTTCATCAGACGCCCGATTCCGGACAAAGTGAGACATCTACTAAATTTGTGAGTTATAACCTGACGCTACGCAAACAGTGTGTCGTGTTGTCATGCGCAATAACGTTCTTTGTTCAACCCTTCTTGCTCTAGTCCAAGAAGTAATTCCTCAGAGACAAAACCAAGTCGAGCACTGGTTATTCCAGAGGCCTAAGCAGTTCAATTGAACAACAGTTATGTCACTCACCATGCTCAAGTTGACTAATAAAAGACCAAATTAAACATTCGAAACCATCCGTATCTGTCTGTCCCTCAGGGCAAAGAATTTTGATGACCTGAAAGCCGTTATAAATAAAGCTTTGACCAGAGAAATAATTCATGACCATACATTAATAACTGCTATACAGGCAGAATTTCAAAATATCTTTTTCAGTTTAGGAGGCATACATCTCTGATGTGCCGAACTGCTTCAGTTAATCAGCCATCCTTGTATCATTAAAAGATATCTTATCTTATCCTTTCATTGCACATTTTATTGTAACTTCCTTATGACATAACTTCTTGTAACTGATATATCATTAAACGATGTCTTATCGCAATGAATGAGGCACTGAGAGACTTTTCGTTCAGATATGTCGCTTCTATAGATCAGGGTATCGTTTCGTTACAGAAAGTCCAAAAACCCTGGCTATTCAAGACTCCTTTTGGACCCCTTTTGAAAACATGATTGCTTTTAAACCCCATCTTAAACTCTAGTCTCCCATAGAGTAATTGAAAAGGATATTCCCAACCAAACGTCCGGATTATAAAATATCAGTGGTTAACGTCATGTCAAATAAAGAAGATGACTCGAGAAGACTGGCCCGACATCTAATTCGTCTTTCCTCGTCCGCTTGATGCAATAACGAAGCACTCTACGAAGGTTTATTTTAACATTGGAAAGGTAGTGGCATAGGTCGTACAGTTTTCTGATGCCAGAGATTCGAGGAATAGGGAAGCTATGCTATAAACATATATGCAAACTAAACAGAGAGCTAAAACGATATGACCAAAAAGTATTGATTTAAATCATGTGTAGCAAAAATCATCCCGCCTCCTGTAATAACATGATAACTGGGTGGATTCAAAGTTTGATGACTTTATTTTCGGGTCCTCTAATTAGAATTAACGTAAATTAACTTAAAAAATATTAACAAGATTGTGTAAGAAAACTCCAGAAATACTGATCATCCTACTTGCTTGAAATGCGCTTCCCTTTGGCAAACAAAGGGATCGCAGAAAGACATTACATATTCATGAAATGTTTCATCGACTTTATTGGTTTTCAGTGGTCAAACGTAGTTTAAGGCGTTGTCGTATTTAGCAGCATATCAACATTCAACTCTTGGTGTTTTTTATTCCCTTTTAGCTTCTTTAGGTATCTTGAAAATTTCTGTTTTCGTTCCATTAGACAAATGACCTCTTCTGGGTCGTTTCACTGGTCATATATCTTTGCAATTGTGGAGTTGCGTAAACCGTGAGGTCATTACTGCACGGCAGTCGCTGTGCTTCGAGTTTCTCTTTAGTATTTTTTTTTCTGTTAATTTGTTTATGAAGATAACAAATCATCGATATTTATTTTTAGGCCAAAGCATAAGGAAAACAGCTCCACCATCGTTCACCACTCGATCTGAAATGAAACTAATTAGACGTCAATTTATTGAATCACTCAAGACTGTTAAACTCAAAACAATCTAAGAAATGTTTAGATTCCTCACATTTGCTCTCTCATGGTGTGGGTCTCCTTAGCGGCAAAGCGTTTCGGCTGTATCGGCTTTTGGGCGTACAGATAGAAATATAAATTTAGTTGGTTAATTTAGGTAGCCATGCTCAAACGTTGATCCGAAATAGGTTTTCTAAGGTTTCGCAAACGACGTAGGACGCTTACTGAGATCTAAATGCATTTCCGTCGTTTAATATCTTTCAGTGACATGTCTTATCGACTTAAAAACAAAAATACTTGCCGCGAAAGTAAATTGTCCATTGTTGATTTATAGAAATATAATAACAAAGGAGGTGATTCTTAAAATAAAAGACAAGAAAGGTTTTAAGCTTAGAATAAGCCCTTTTTTCAAATGAAACTTTAATTCAACCTTAAATGTAATAATAAAAGTGCGAAAAGTAGAGACAACTTGGTTTAGACCATGGGTATCCATGCTTTAATTTCTTCAAAACCGAACATAACCTGCAGTTTCCCGACTTAACTGTTGCATACAAAACGAAACTGCTACCAGCTTCATGTTAATTAGCAAATTTAAGAGTAATTGGCTTTATATAAAACAATTAATTAAATCCACAAACTTTTCTGTTTGGTTCATCTGCTTTGTGACCTGCCCTCCAAGTTCTCGACGTCATATTCCGCATATGGTATTGATCATTTCTTGAAAAGTTTTCAAATAACTGAGGATTACATGTACCGAATTGTTCATGTGCTTAGTTATCTGGGCTTGTATTTTTATCTCAACTTCCACAAATATTTGACTCTCATTTTCAGTTGGTTTCAGTGATTAGCAATGTAAAGTATGTCTCTCTTTATGTGCAACTATCCCATTGTTATCTGACATTTCGTGTCATTCATGTAGATAACACAGTAACCTTGAAGTTCATTCAAATAGTTTTCTTTGCAGCTCAGTCAGCCGGTGTAGTTTGAATTTGATGATTCACAACAAAAAAGGTCGGGAGTTGAGTCCTTTGTATACGATTTCTATTTTCAATTCAACTAATATTTGGACAGTTAATGGCTGAAAATAAATTGCTGATTGATCATCAACTAAAAATGTTTTCTTTTGAAAACAGCAGGGAGTTACAAATCTTCAAAAGATGACTGCAGTGCGGTTTCACGCTCGCGTACCAAGTGAACAAAGAGATAAACTTTGACACGCGCTTTTATCCGGTTCCAGGATCACTCTGTCGGCGAATGTTACACTACATCATTGATGAGAAGCAGCTTTGAGCCTGTGAGAAGCTATAAAAGCGTATCATTTCTCTATAACAGCAATATGCAATCTAAAATGTTCTCCACAATGAAGCTGGCGTGGTGTTTAGCTACCCTTACAACAATTTTGGCAGCAAACAATAACGGTATGTAAACATTTCGGTTTCAATTCTGTTTTATAGAGCAACGGGCGGTTATGTTTTGTTAAACGATTTCTTGTCAGTGTTACTCACTGTTTCCAGTAAAATCTCGAACGCATTGCAAAATGTTGGATTTTTCCTTAGATAAAATACTTTTCAATCCTAATAAGTGTACGTTTCTCAAAAAGTCGAATATTTCTGCCTTTTTCCTGTTGGTATTTTGAAAACAGAACATTTAATTTACCTCAGTGATACGGAACGGCCTGCGCGGCACGAAAGGCAGTGACCTAAGCAGAGATATGAAAGTGACGACTCTCAATTTTTTAATAGTTTAGGCTACTTTTATTTAAAACAAGTTGCCCATTTTAAATTATGAATTAATTGTCGCATTTTAGAACTAAATACTCTGGAATTTAACCTACTAAATGAACTAATTATTCAATAGGTGGGAATAATCCTACACGCACAAAAGTGAAGAGTGTGCTTGAGTTGCTGTGATGGGCATGCACTTGGCGTTTGTGGGTTTACGTTGTGAAAGACTCAACATAAGCCTACGCATCAATTGCCACTTTTAAGTTTGAAACTGGTGAAGAACTGCTTAAGGGATAATTCCTTGCTTTGCAATGCGATCAGATTTTCACTGGCTTGAACAATTGGCCATACGCTGTTTCAGTTGACGGAAACTTCTGGTTAACATCAAATTGATTTTAGGTTAGTGCTGGTATAAACTGGTATGAGCGAGATTGCGTGCCGCCTGTTTAAAGTGAACAGGAAGTATTAAACAGGAAAACTATTTACCCAAGGTTATCTTGAGCTCGAGGAACTCGTAAAAAGTTTAGTCAACTTTAAGCAGCTTATTTACAAATGTGGTTTAATTGCGTCAGTTTTGCAACCAAAGATTAATTTAAAGCTACATATTGACCTCGTGACCAGCGCAGAGATCGGAACAAATACAATAGCCACACTCAAAACGACTAAAACATGTCAGAGGTTAACATAAGATTGTGAGAAATATATGAATAGAAACACAAAGTCTTAATATTGTTTTTTTAATATATTTTCATTTTCTTTGATCACACTGAAAGGTTTGTGATTCTTGATCCAAATTACCTTTCTGAAAAGTGTTAAACGTGCTATTAGATTTACTCCTGTTTTCCGAACCTGTTATTTTTCCCTCTTACGTAATACCCCATAAGACCTGTTTTCTCTCCGAAAATAACCGGTAATTCGGCTATTTCCGTTATGAAGAAAACTTGAGATTTTTTTTCACTGAAACATTCTTACTCAGTCTCATTACGCTTTTATCAGTCTTCATATCTGAGGTCTTTGTAGGCAAACAAAACAAAACAAAACATTGTTCCTGTATCTTGTTGCCTGTCTGTTTTTCTGCAGCATCAAAACGAATCGTAAGGGAAAGCAACACGATTGCACAGCACCCTTTGGGAGTTTTGTTTTTGTTTATGCTCTGCTCGTCCAAAAATGTTACAAATGTTTCCGTTCCTTTCATTTACACTTAGCAGGTAGTGACGTGAGTCCCAGCCTACAGACCCTGTTGAACGCTACCACAGGGAAACCACCGCATGCAACCTCCACTCCATCCTCACGACACCCGTCGTCCACGACTGGCATTACTAACATGTCTCCAGACCGTGAGGAGTTGACGTTATTCCGAGAGTTGTTTGAGGGGTATGACAAACGCCTTCGGCCAGCGCTGAGGAAGGAGGACAATGTGACGGTGACGCTTGGGATTTCTGTGAATCAACTCATTGATATTGTAAGTGATCTTTCAGATCTGCAAGATGGAGACAACCTTATTTACCCTCGGAAGTGTTTATAGCACAAAGGCTAATGGGGCCGACTAAACAACTGAAACTAATAATTCAAATTGAATATAACATTGTTTTAAAGAATCCCAATTGGCTGGAGGCAAATTAGTTGGCTGTTTACAAGCGTTGCCCAGGATTTGAACTCGGGGCTACCGTGAAACAAAATCCAGGTAGTGGTCAGAGCGGAACTCAAACCCGGGACTGTTGGATTGCGAGGCCGAAACGGTGATTACTCGGCCACGCTGCCTCCATGCTCATTTATTGACTCGAACGGAGTAATTTATTTCGTAAAGTAGCAAACCAAGTTCCACATTTTAGAGTTTCTGAGCTGTTTATGAGAAAATCTATTCGGCTTAGCCTGGAAAAAAAAGTTGTTAACCAGAGATAGAGATGTTTCCGTCTGCAAATTTTAGCCCAATTTTTAAAATTTACACTAATTTAGACTAAGCTTGATACTCGCTTCGCACCAAAAATTATCACCAACCGCCATTTTGCTCCTTGTTTGGCAGGACGAAAGAAATCAAATGATGCGGCTTAGTGTCTGGGTGAGACAGGTAGGTCCTAATAACTAAACAGATAGGGTGATGAACTGAAGCAATATGAAACAAAACTAATTATGCTGCGTAAATATATATTTTTTTTTACCGTCAACAAATTAGTTAAATAAGGTAAGGTTAAGGTGAGCGTTAGATAACTGCTACACGCTGTACATCCAGGGCCGGGTTGTTTGAAAGCAGGTTAGCGCTAACCCAAGATTGAAATTTAACCGAAGTTTTAACTTTTCTTGGGTAAAATGTTTTTCACTGGTTACGTTTTGTGTAGTTTGAGATTATTCAAACTCACAACTGAAGGATAATCAAAATAAAAAGAAAATCTCACTAAAAAGTCACGAAACTAAAATCAAAATTCTCGCTAATCCTGGGTTAGCTTCAGTCAGGCATTGAACAACCCGGCCAAGGTGTTTATTGAAACACATTTGTGATACAAATGCCGACACCATTTGGTAACTTGACCTCCGATTGGGGGGAAGGTGAGTTATTCCCCTATATGAGCTATATAGGTATGTGCGGCCCCAAAGGGTATAGTTTGTGAGCATTTGTGGTCTGAAAATATATAGATTCAGTTGACCATTTTGGCTAAAATAGGGTACGTTTTTCACTCTGGCTTAGAATTGGGTATTTTGTTTGCAAGGAACTAATTTTTTTCCGTACCACCAAATTGGTAGCCCTTTTCAAATGTTTACGCAAATGGAAGCATGGTCATATAATAGAGCCATGTGGTAATTTTAGAGGTCAATTTTAGAGGTTTGAAACGGGGTATCAATTTTTACCTCAGGCCTGAATAGGGTATGGATAATTACAGATTTTGGTCTGAAATAGGGTACAGGTTTTAAGGATTCAGGCCGCACACCCCACCAAAAACTTTGGGGAATACCTTGACCACATGTCCGAAGCAGAAGCCTTCTATAAACCCGATTGTGTTGTTTCCAATTATATTCCCTCGATCTTGACATTTTTTTATTTCCTCCAGAAATGGAACAACCCTTTCCTTCGATGGAACGCGTCGCATTATGGGGGAATATCGGTAATCAACGTGAACCCATCAGATATTTGGAAACCGGACCTGGTGCTTTACAATAAGTAAGTATTACTGTCAAAATTAAACTAACTTCTACTGGCTGAGCTGACAAACATCATATAACGTATATTCGAAATGAAAATCCTGTTAATTAACATGTGAACTAAATAAACGTCTTTGTTATCGCCTATTCTAAATATTCAAACTCACGCGTAGGGGACCTTATAGGAGATAAATGATTCACTGAATCAAGCGTTTGTAATTTTAGAACAAAAGTATTAGAAAGAGAGCAAGAAAAAAAGAGACAAACGTTTACAATGTGTTTTCCATCCACAGTGTAGATGGAGGCAGCGATGGTTCTATGGCCGCATTTAAATCGCAAATCAAAGTCTCAAGCAATGGAGACAATCTTTGGTTGTCCCCAGTCATTCTGCTAAGCTCCTGTAAAATCTTCGTCAAGTATTTTCCCTTCGATGAGCAGCACTGTACGCTCAAGTTCGGCTCTTGGACTTACGATGGCTTTCAGCTGGATTTAAGGCCCGAGGCAGATGAGGCCGAGAGTGAGAAGTTTGTGAAAAATGGCGAGTGGGACCTGATTCGAGTTCCTTGCAAGAGAAATGTCGTCAAATACGTGTGCTGTGAGGAGCCTTACCCTGACGTCACGTACGAAGTACAGATTCGCAGAAGAACGCTTTTCTTTTTCTTCAACATGGTCATCCCCTGTCTTGTTATTGTAGGTGAGATGACATTTTAAGATAAACAACATCGTTAGGTTTCCTTCAATGTATGCATTCTTTATTCCGTATTTGATCTTACACCATCATTTCGCGAACGATGACTTTGTCTCTTAACGTGGACGGTAGGGAATCGAAATTGCGTCGACAATAGGCCATTACCGAATAACCTTAAAGCCTCTCTCTCAAGGCGAGTCTTGGTGCCCATCCTTCCATATGGAAATAAGATTCATTCACATGCAAATTAAACTCATTTTCATCATATATGAATGGTTTTGCACCAGGCCTCGCTTTGATTGAAGGCTTAGGTCAACTCAGAAATGGATCATTGCAATAGTGTGTTGGTTTTCGGCTTTCTAAATCGTAACCTGATTTTTCCTCAGACTCGCTGTCCTCGCTTAATCAGCACAAAACTTATGATTTAATTCCCTTTCTCCTCTAGGAGAATAGTAGGCTCGATCTCGAGTTCGGCATACGGCCTCCTCCTGCCTTTTGGGATGGGCGCTGTCTCCTTTCTTGAACAGCGGTCGGTAATCGGGCCAAGGAGAGTATGAGCAACGACTCGTGTGCTCCTCTCTGCTCTGTCTCTCGCAGCGGTGGCAACCTCTGTCCAGGTGTACACAACTTATACATCTGCTGCATTTTTATCCACAGGCTTGACTATCTTGTCATTTTATCTGCCACCTGACTCGGGTGAACGCATCTCGTTGGTCATTACCAATCTCCTCGCCATGACAGTGTTCATGCTGCTGGTTGCTGACATTATTCCGCCCACCTCAGATGCGGTGTCAATCATCTCCACCTTTTATTCTTGCTGCATTTTTGAGGTGTGTTTCCATTTAGTATTTAGGTTTTAAATCTAGTCAACATTTAATATGATTACATTTATATCCGTCGTGCCAGAAAAGTTCGCATGCCGATACTGCAAACTATTTAATTATCAAAAAGGGTGTCCGCAACTTGGCGTATTGTGAAGTTTCTGAAGAACGTTCTTGATAGCTTTTTGATATATCTGCTTGTGAATTATGCTAATACAGTTAGAGGGGGCTCGCTCTCGGTTCTTCAAACAACTTTAATATTTAGCTCGGGGCTTCTTCCCTCACCAACTGTCAACACCTGCAGCTTGCTGTCTACATCTGTCTACCTTCTATCTTGTGGTTTTGAGACCTAAGAGTATAAAGTATTAGACAAAAGCGTCCAGAAAAAGTTTTCTAACTACGTACTTATACTCGTTTGTCATCAGATCAATCACTGGGTTCAGTTAAAAGAATTTCGTTTTCTATAGATTTTGATAGTTGCCTGTCGGTGTAACTGCTCTTCTCGCTTCAAAGGGCTTGGACATCTGAAAGGGGCATCTTAGTTCCACATTGCTTCTTTATTTTTGTTATCATCCTTATGGCTGACTTATCTGGAAATACATGCCAATATAAGTCGGCGGCTGACGAAAGTTGAGTTGACGACGAGTTTAATTTCTTGCTTACATATCACAGGTTGGAATAGCTCTTATTGGAACATGTGTGGTCCTCAAATACCACTTTTCTAACCCATCCATCCACAAAATGCCCAACTGGCTTCGCTTTGTGGTCCTCCACTGTTTAGGCAAAGTCTTTCATAAAAAGCTCCGCGGTGACAATGCGGAAAACCCTCTGGAAACAGGTAGCCCGTTTGAAAAACGAAAACTTTTGAGGGACAACGGATATATCGAGACATTTGTTCCTAAAAATGAGATCTTAAATCAAAGATTTAGCGTCCTCGAGAGGAGACTCTCTGGATTAGCGACTGGTGGAAAGTGGCCCACTGATGGGAGAAGCGCTTCAGACGAGAGGGATTCCAAAGGCCCCTTCACAAGAAAAGGTGGTTCCGATCAGGAATGCGATGACAAGAGTTACCTGACAAGGGCCATAACCTACAAACAGGAAACTATTGCTAACGCACTGGAAAAACTGGTCGAGGCAAAGGAGGCTCAAGATGAAGAAGGAAAGCAGCGCGACGAGTGGATGATGGCGGCGTCTATCCTGGACAACATGTTCATGTGGATTTTCTTGTTCACTTTAGGTGCTTCGATAGTTGCCTTGTTCTTTCAGCTTCCAAAATACGACTAGCACATTTAAGAGAACACGTTTAAGAGACAAGGGAATATAGAAGATTAATTCTTGCATAGGTGGGTTGATCGTGCGGAAACAAACCTGTTTCAAATGCTGTGAGGATACGTGAGAAAAGTTGCCTTGCTACTGCCGTTACTGGCGATGCGCACTAAGATAAGAGCATTACGTGTGCGAGTGACGGGGAGCCAGAAGAGAGTCTCCCTGAAGTCGATTTAAAACTATTATACATTCAGGCATGGCGTTATTTGGTCTCAATGATCACCGTCTAAACGGGGAAATACTCTGGTTACTTCTCTGCTAGTTTTAAGCTTGAGCTGCTTTCACAATCAGTTGAATCAATTAGAATGATGCTAGGAAAAGGAGTTGCAAGTCCTTAAAATCGCAAGTTCTTTTATCATCAAAATTATCCTTTTAGACAAAGAGATATACCCCATGACTTACGCTCAGTCTGTACAATGCTCTGTGGAAGATTTGCTTTCTTTGGTGAGTTGCATTGAGTTTTTCTCTAATTAGGTATTTTCGTCTTATCAGTTGCTTTGAATTCAAGTAAAGTGACGTTTGGTTTAAGTTCATAACTCAACACTCACAAGGTTTGCAGTCAACACAAATATTCAAACTTTTGCATCTCAAAAGTTTGGATTCAAAATCATTTTTTAAGATAAATAATTTATAAGAGTAATAATTTGTATTTACATGTACATTTTTAAATGAATATAATTCGCAGTGAATTTTTCAGGCTCTTAAACTGAAGTTAAGCATTTTGATACAGTGCGTATGATGCCGGTAGCTCTAAAGTATTTTCTTTAGTATTTTTCTTTAATTGTAAGTACTTTAATACACCTTTGTATTGAAGTTTGCCTTTTTTTGCTCTTAATTTTGAGTCTCGAACAGAAAAAATCTATTTCAATATGATGGATTAATGTACGTGTAGAAGGAAAAACAACTGATTTTCAGGAATATGCACTGTTCTGTCGCCGGTCCGACACGACGAAGGATTACCTTGAAATCCGATTGAATCTTGTCCAGTATATTTCTTATTTTTTTCTTTTTCAAGCTATCTGCACACTTGTTGGTCTTTTTTCCATAATCACATAATCTTTCTCTTGTACGAAATCATGACGCCGAGAATACGGTGACCTAGCCGCGCCCCTTATGAAAAACTTGGCCAAGAGATCAAACAACAGGCCGGGTGTTTGTAGTTTTCGAGTTTTCTCTGTTTTGGACCTGTCTTTATCGTCTAAGCTAAATGACGAACAAGCTGTTACTAAAGTAAATGAAAACCACGTGTAAAGCTTGCAGAGTTTGGAATAATCACCACCTAACAGTGCCGGGTGCACACGCTAAAATTTAATAACTTGTTTGTACAGATGTTTAATTAGCTTATAGCCGCACTGTAAAACTTGTAATACTATTAGCTATGGTTTCCTACCTAGAGGGAGCACTTAATTTTGATAATAACTTTTTGCAATTGATCTGGGCAAGCACAAAAACTTGACTGGTTCTGAGAACCCCAAAATAATTAAGTCCTCACTTCATTGATGCTGGGGTATACGTACGTTGGAAGTTAGGTTCCTCCTGTTCTTTGGAAATGTAATAATCTGTTTGTTTCACGGAGTTTTCTTCAGATTTTTGCTAGAGTTTGTTCATCAAGATTTAGCATTATTTCATTTTGTGGAATTATGGTATAATTTATATTGAAGCACTTTATCACTAGTAACAAAGCTTTTAAATCCGCATATTATCCATTTGCATTTGTGAATCAAGATTCTTTTAGGACTTTTGTATTTACATATACGTTTAACAGTGGATACTTTGCCAATAAAGATGTGTAGTTATAATGCCCAGTTGCTGCAGTACATTTTGTTGACCAATCGTTCACATTTTTAAAGAGAGATAGGGAGAGTGTGTAGAACTCATAATCTGGTGTCTTCAATTTGGCTTTAGCCTTCTTCGTGCGTGGCGGAGCTATAAAGAGTCTATTTTTTTATCACGGGGTCTGAAATGGGTAAAAATGTCGTCCTCTTAGCCTTGCATGAGGCTTATTTTATTTCATAAGCAGGCCAGTGGTCTGAGATGCGCTCTTTAAACGTAACCTGGCCATCGATAGGACTATACTGCTTGCTCATGGAAGGGGTTGGTTTTCAAGTCCAGTTAAACACCCCTACCAAAGTTGCATGAACTCTCTTGTATCTTTACAGGGAGATCAACGATCGAATAACTCAACCGTACATGGGCCGCTTGCCTCTGGCGGCCGAGAGAACAAATTTTGCGGGACTTTAGATACTACTACTGGAAATGTCAACTGCTACATTCTTTCGTCAAGTACGAGTAAGTCTTCTACTATGTTACCTGACAGTTGGCAGCATAGCCCTGATGGTATTCAGTCAACGATGCAGTATAGTGGAATAATTTCCCATCCCTCCTTGTTTTCAATACCGTACCGGCCAATCAGTCCCTCTTTCCTGTCATGATTTACGAGCCGGTCTGTGTTTAAGTTCAGGACTAACTTCAAAGGTTAAGCTTTCGCTGTCTTCAGACAGGCAGGTGTTATGACTGCTCCGGTTTTCACCTGAGCATCGCTGGAGCCAAAAAGGGAGAAAAATGTCGGCGCACGCTAAGCATAACTGTGTAGACTGTACGCGGGCCATGTAAAGCGAACAATTCAACTAGGCTCAAAAATGAAACAATGAACGCTACAGATGGCCACAATACATTTCCCGATCGGTTTCCCAAACGGAAACTTTTTTGTTATTCTCGAGTAAACAGTCTGAGAATGAACTTATCTTAACATGACTCGATCAGTCATTTTCAAGTACGGAAGGTATTTACTTTACCCATCATTTATGCTTAGTCGCATTAGACACATTCAAGATTTTGATCAGATATTTATACAAACAAATCCAAGTACCTGAACCCAGAATATTCCATAGCCTTTCGATTCTCTTCGCTCGATCCTACAGACGATCTGTGAAGCAACACGGCAGAATTCTGGTTTCAAAGTCAGAAGGCAAGGATCTGTGTTGGCAAATGAAACCCGGAGCACGCTAATATCGAGTCAATTCAAGGTAGATATCTTTGATTCTCAGTCTTTATCGATCTCGCCATTGCACATT